AATCCTGAATTACCCATAATAAGGCATATACCATAATTCCCATAGCTCAGGGTCCTAAAGGCAATGCAGGTTTTACATCATCAACAGTAGGGCTTGAGTTTACTGGGTTCTTGCTAAGGAATGTCGTTGAAGCTAGCATATGGGTAGTTCTCTAGATTCAGGTCCTGCTGTGGGTCCCAAAATAGTACGGCACCCTTAGGGTTTAGGGTTTAGGGTTTACATATAAACAGGACCCCAAAAAGGGACCCTTATTTAGAGAACTACCCATAGTGAGAAAGCAATCCTATGTACTGTAGATCCTCCTCACGGTTTAGGTTTAGGGTTTAGGGGTTTAGGGTTTAGGGTTTAGGGCTCACAATGCCTTTCTTGACAAGAACCCGGTTTAGGAACCTTTTGATGCAGCCATCTCCTTATGAACCACGCCCCTGTCGTTCAAGGCCCCTCTCAGCATCCCGAGGATTTAGCGTAACCCCTGCTGACTTCCCCAATATGCCATGGAAATAGAAGGTTAGACTTTCAAAATGCTACTAAATATTACGAACCCATCGAGTTTTAAAGGTAGGGTATTGGGGAACTAGGCTTATACAAACTAGAGAACAGGGTTTATTCACCAGGGGTCTACATCAATGAGTTTAGGCATTTAACCCCCGAAACCCTAAACCCTTAAACCCTAAAGGGCTTAGGGTTTAGGGTGAGTGTTGAAGCTCCTTGGTATGGGGCAGGGATGGGTTCCTGTGCTCCTCAATAAATTCACAAAGGGTCCTAAGTACCTATTAGGAGGTAGGATTAGGGGGGGACCCTTGCGGGTATAGGCCCTCCCAATAAGGTCACTTCTAAGACATCCATAAGTGGGGTTAAGAAGGGTCCCCGTACCTAGGGACCTGTACAGCAGATTGTACTGTTTCTATGTAGGGCTTGTTGTGATGACCTGGGAAAGTATACCCCCCATGACAGTACCTAGGTTGTAGATTTTCGGGACACCCCCATTTCAAGTTTGAAAGTGCCCATGTCCAGAACAAAAATGCCTATGTACCGTATCCCTAGGCCCTAAATCGTCTAAACCGTAAAAAGCCATAAACCCACAGAGAGCCTTTGGGATATGAGGCTCACGGTTTAGATTTCGGACGGGTCGAAATCTAAGTTTTACAATACGATTTCTAGGGGTGGCAGAACTTGAGTTTGAAGAACCCTCTCGCGACCATGAGACTAAACCCTAAACCCTAAACCCTAGACCCTAAACCCTAAACCCTAAACGATTCTAGTGGGGCAGTGCTTGTTCTCGGCCCTAAGCTCGAAACCCTAAACCCGTGGTATGGGCGTTTGAAGAGACATGTGCCAGAGCACAGAAGACCTGACTGTTTGCACCTGTACTCGAAACTGCAAGACGTACCCCCGCAAGCCGAAACCTAAACCCTAAAGTTCTGGTTAAGGGTTTAGGGTTAAGGGGTTATGGTTTAGGGTGTCCTAAAGCCCTAATTCACCAAACACCCTCTGTAGGCGCTGTAGAAAGCCGCGCGGAGGTTGAGCCCACAACCCCTCACATGTCTATGCGTACGGCTTAGGGTTCCGGATTATGTGATTTAGGACCTAGAGCTTTGGGTTTAGTGGTGCTCTGCGAAACCTTGGTGCCTTCGGGCCGCCTATCGACAACTGCAGCAAAGCCGTTTCTGGATGTTGCTTGTCGGATAGGCGTTAAACCTGAATCATTAGAATGGGGTTTTGGGGTATAGTATACAAAGGTTCTATTAAGGAACCCCAAAAAACATGTAGGTAAAAATTATTAAGGCCCCTATATTAAGCCCTAAGCCCCTAAACCTTAGGGTTTAGGGCTTAGGGTTTTGGGCTTAGGGCTGAGGGTTTGGATTTTTTTTGCTTGGGGGTTTTGAGCTTAGGGCTTAGAGTTTAGGGTTTGGGGCTTAGGGTTTAGGATTTAGGATGTATCGTTTGGGGTTTACCTAAACCCTAAACCCTTAACCCTTAACCCTAAAAAAGGCACCAAGAACCTGACACAGAGGGCGGCACCTCGCGTGAGCCGAAAGATCCGACCCAAAGCGCTCAGGGCAATGGCTGCCTCTGCAGGAGTGTTTAGTTTAGTTTAGTTTAGGGTTTAGGGTTTGGGGTTTGGGGTTTGGGGTTTGGGCTCTGGGGTTTGGGGTTTGGGGTTTGGGGTTTGGGGTTTGGGGTTTGGGGTTTAGGGTTTAGGGTTTAGGGTTCTAGGGTTTTGGGCTTTAGGGTTTTAGGGTTTAGGGCTTTAGGGTTTTAGGGTTTAGGGTTTAGGGCTTGAGGGTTTTAGGGGTTTTAGGGTTTAGGGTTTGGGGTTCAGGGTTTAAGGTTTGGGGTTCAGAGTTTGTCTGGGTTCGTAGAGGGGTTCCTAGGCTCAGGGTGTTAGGCCCTAAACCGAGGGCTTCAGGTCATGAATCCAGGGTTTAGGGTTTAGGGTTTAGGGTCATTGATAATTTTTAAGGCTTCCGAGACATTATGCTGCAGGTGCCTTTAATGATCAGATGATCAGAATATAAGGTTTCTTCGGGGAAGATCATAGTCTAAGTATAGTAAAGAACCCTAAGGAACAGTGTCACTAAGCATCCGGGCTGCTAATATGATGCGGTCTTGGGGTCTATGATTTCAGGCTTAAGGTATCATATCCCTATCCGAAACCCTGACTGATGCAGGCCTAAACTCAACAAAAGCAAAAACAACCTTAAACCCTAAACCCTACACCCCAAACCCTGATGCAGGGGCCTGAATAATTAGAATAGGGTTTGTGTGGGTTCCTTATCATGACTCTAGTATATCCCCCCAAACCCTAATCTAATTATTTAAGGCCCCTATATTAAACCCTTTCAGTCCCTCAAACCCTAAACCCCAAAACCCCCCAAAAAAGCCTTAGACTCTAACCCCTGAGCCCTAAACCCTAAACCCTAAACCTTAAACCCTAAACCCTAAACCCTAAACTCTAAACCCTGAGCCCTAAACCCTTTCGGTCCCTCGAACTCGGCTTCTCCCGGCCTGTCCGCCCACTTCCGCCGCCGCCTCACAGTCCCCAAGGAAGGCAAAGAAGAGGGAGACGATGAGTCCCAAGGAGCCGACCTTGCGGCTTTAAAGGACCTAGGGTTTAGGGTTTAGGGTTTAGGGTTTAGGGTTTGGGGATAAGGGTTTAGGGTTTAGAGTTTAGGGTTTAGGGCCTAAACCCTAAACCCTAAGGCATTCTAGCACTCCTTTAAGGGTTCCATAAGGACTAAGGGAGTGTAGCACTCCTTTAAGCGTTCTGCTGTGCTACCATAAGGACTGGGGGATTCTAGCACTCCTTGCAAGGGTTCTATACTGACTAAGGGAGTCTAACTCTTCTTGAAGGGTTTCTATAAGGACTGAGGGATTTTAGCACTCCTTGCAAGGGTTCTACAATAACTGAGCGGCTTTAGACCTCCTTTAAGGGTTCCATAAGGACTAAGGGAGTCTAGCGCTCCTGTAAGGGTTCGATAAGGACTAAAGGATGCTAGCCCTCCTTTGAAGGTTCTATAAGGGCTAGTATAGGTGTTCTGGGGTTCGGTTAGGGTGTAGCCGACCTCGTTTAGGGTTTAGGGTTCATAAGCTTTTGGGTATAGAAGGAGCTCGGGCCTCGGGGATCTAAGGCAAAGGTTGAAGACAGGGCTTGGGGCTTTGAGTTTACCTACATGTCGGGCTTCTTTTGATTTTGGGGTTGCCGTTTTGTACTTGGTGTATGCTTTAACTTGCGTGCAGCGCGTGTTGTTGGGGATTCGAGCTTGTTGGTCTGAGGTCTCAGGGATTATAGGGCGTTGGTTCCAGGCAATTGAGGAATTTGGGTTAGGCTGGGCTGTAGAACGCTTGCGGTAAACCCGTAAGACATCTGGAAAGCCGGGAAAACCACATAAACTGAAGCACCACCGACAAAGCCAGTATTCACTCTGATAAAGGTGCCTGTACAGTTAAAGCAGCGTGGGCAAACTCTAGAATAGTTAGAATAGTGTACCAAAAACAAGAATTGAACTACGATACACTAAACATTCTGACCCCAACATTACGAAACCCAAAACCCCAACCCAGAAAGCCTAAGCCCTAAACCCTAAGCCCTAGACCTCAAGAGACCCTAAATCTTAACGTGTAGAACCCGAAACCCTAACCCTAAACCCTAAACTGCAGAACCTGAGACCCTAAACCCTAAAGCCTAAGCCTAACCCTAAACCCTAAACTCTAGAACCTGAGACCCTAAACACCAAACCCTAAACCCTAAGCCTAACCCTATACCCCAAACTCTAGAACCTGAGACCCTCAACACTAAACCCTAAACCCTAAGCCTAAACCCTAGACCCCAGAACCTGAGACCCTAAACACTAAACCCTAAACCCTAAGCCTAAACCCTGAACTCCAGAACCTGAGACCCTAAACCCTAAACCCTAAACCCTGCCTTCAAACTTCTGAGCCTCCGGCGCCCACATGCCTGGCTTCGTCGCAGAGCAGGACGTGAAGCGCACAAGCCGAGGCGGCGAAGCTCAGGCAAAGCCTCGTGAGGGTTTAGAATCCAGGGCTCAAGGCTTGTTTTTGGGGGCTTGGGGTTTCAGGGTTCAGGGTTTAGGGTTTAGAGTTCTTTGCTCATACGTTTTTTGTTTTTGTTGTTGTAATTTGTGGGTTGCCAGAGTGGCTTAAAGTATGGTGGCGTCATGAGTCGGAAGTCTTGATAAGGGTTTTGTGGGGGTTGGTAGGGTGGTTATAGTGGCTTGAGAGACATTGTAGCGTGTTTTCGTAGCTGTAGGGCTTGGTAATGTTTTCTGATGGTTTGTAAGGGTTTTATAAGAGTATCATAGAGATTATTGATCAGAAATATTCTGCGGTGGCTTTTAAAGGTTTCCGATTGGTCTGTCTCCTGGTCATATAGGGCTTTATCATGAGACTGTTAAAAGGCTCTACAGCAATGTGCGTGTAGTATCGAAGTATGACTACACGTGCCAGAGTAAAATATGTCTATTTTAGCGTTTGGGTCTTAGGGTCTTAGGGTTTAGGGTACAGCAGGTCTGTTGACTTTGACGCTGATACTGCCTCTGGCCATTGACCCTGCCACTGGCGGTTTCCTTCGGATGTGCTCTTCATTGAGCCTGAGTTCTATCTTGAAGCCATGAACCAAGGTCTAAATGACCCGAAACCCTAGACCGATTCTTGGCTTCGGATCCCTTACGGAGAGTCTTCCGAACCCCATGCTCACAGTCGCGATCGTGACACTGCTTGTCTTTGCCTTCTCACTCTTTTTCGAGCCTTAGAGGGTGATGACTGGGAACTGTAGGAAAGCCTTAAAGGACAACTTCGAAGTTCAAGAAAAAACAGATCCCCTCTACCCATCGGAACAAAGCAACCTCCGTCCGGCTAAGACCGTTCGGTAAACCCTGGACCGTACTCCTGAATTAATTGATGATGTCCTAATATATATATATATATATAGAGCTTTAAGAAGGTGGGCTATCTGCGGTCCAGGTAAGGTCCAAACATAATAAGAGTCCGTAGTTCCTTTTGCTATCGGAGAAATTCACACTCATGGTTTACAGGGGTTCAGGTCTTAGGGAGTTCACGGGTTTCAGACTTTTGCTTCCAAAAGACTTCCTATTTAGGACTTCCGGGGGCTGTTTGGTCACCTTCACCTTCAAGGCTCAAAGTAGCTAAACCCTAAACCCATAGAAGTGTCTTTGGGCCTAACAAGGAATCCTTAAAGCCTTTAAGGTCACCCCAAAAGTCCAAATACTTAATCAATAAGTACTCAACCATAAACTACCCCCCCACACACACAACTGATTTCGATTATAATTACGGTGATTGACAATATTTCTTGTTGCTATTATTACTATTGTTATGATTATCATTATTACTACTTTTTGTGGTATTATTATTGTCTCTTAAGATTTGCTATTCTTTACCCTTAACCCAAGTAGCTGAGTATCGCTTCCATGGGACCTCGATCCCCCTGCGAGACCCTTACTCCATCCCCTGATAATATAGGGGCCCTCATGATTTTAATGGTGTTTTGGAGTATATTGTACTGTAATTTCAATAATTAGAATAAGGACCCCCCCCCC